ACTCTATCCAGCGGAGCTGCTCACTCCAGATGGTCTGAGTTGGTGGATGCAGCACAACGGAGAGCAGCCTCCAGCTCCTGATGAGCCCGCTCTGTCTGACAATTTGTTTGTAGTTGAAAACTCGAGGAAAGACTGACCATAGCGCCCAAGGTGGGACAGAAATTTGGTGCTGTGTGACCCGAATCTTTGGTGTGCTGAGGAAGATCGATTTGGCCTGTGGCGAGATCGTGAGGCGAGGCGAGCAGAGGACCGGTCCAAATATGATCAAAATGATAAGGCTCTGGATGGCCCAGTTACCAGGGCATGGAAGGATGACAGACTTTATTAAATGAGAAGAAGGAATTTTCTGGGATTGAAGGTGCTCTGGGTAAGTGGTTGACTAAAGCATGCATAAAATAAAAGCTATTTTTATTGATTGGTAATAGATTGATAATTAGCCACATTTACAGCTGTATTGACTTGTTGTAGATGCAGTCTACTTCATGTTTAAGGCACTTTAATTAACAGATTGAAAATAGTGACATTAAAGGAAAGAATATGCAGCGCCACACTATCAGATGCCTATCAGCACCTTTTGTTTCTCCTTCAATTAACTCTCAATCACAGAAAACGCGGAGCTCCGAAATAAAACTTAACCGTTAGTTCATCATTTTCACTCTGCACCACTTCTCCTCATCAGGCTGTGTGAAGCACAGTAAACAAAGAACCAGTAAAGAACCAAGGATAAAGGAGGACTAGTGCTGTGTCCCAATTCCTAGGCCCAATCCTTCAGAGGACCCGGTCTTCGCGGTCTACGTGGGCCGGGTCCTTCGAAGACCGATAAGGCTGCGAGGCTGTGAAATGGGACGGTCTAGCCTTCTGATTAGCGTCGCCGCTGTCTCGGTGGAGTTTAATAAACTCGGCCGTCTGCTCCTTGCTATCTAAAATATAACAGGACACTGGAGTAAACTCTCGACCGTCTCACACTTCTGATAATCAGTTTTCTGTGTGACGTTTATTCAGCTGTGTGAAAACTAGAACTTTAATCTCAGCCAAACCGATTTACTCAGGAACAAATAAAACACGAAAAAGCCAAAAAATAACATTTTTTTCTGTGGAAGTTTCTAAAAATGACAGTTTCATTAATCCCATGCAAACGTACACTTTGCAGAACAACCTGACATACTACAGAACAATAACACGACTCATTTCACAGATTGGAGTTTAAAGAAATTAAATACACATATTCAAAGGACCAGACTGATTCTGTTCTACAGATTGATGAAACTCCTAAACTCTTCATCCACTTTGAATGTGGATACCCTCAAATTAAAGCATCTGTGCTCGACACTATGTCCATGTCCATTAAATAACTCTACTTGGAATGTGACTCAGTAAACAAGTAAAAAAACAAAAGTCAGGTCCATATATATATTTGGACACTGACACAACTGTGCACCCATCTTCTTACCTGAGCTTCATCATGAGGTTTTGGGTACTACCAGGAAAAATGAAACCATGGATAGAAGCAGCTGCTGCTGTCACTACATCTCAATATATCCTGTCAAGGAAACGGATTTTGCCTTGACGGGGTGGCTGTAGTAGCTCAGGAGGTAGAGCAGGTCATCTACTGATCGTTGGATGTCTAGACATGCTAAAGGAAGGTAGAATTACCGTATTTTCCAGATTATAAGGCGCATTAAGTGAAACCAAACTCATTCTTCTTACTTCCTCTACTTCCGTACCATTGATTCATTAATGCTGAGTTCTCTATTCCCATTTTCTGGACCTGAAAACAGGGTTTGATCTTTGGTTTCATTCTATAATACTGGACTTATGTTCTACGAAGGTTTGAACTTTGAGAGTTTAAACAAGAGAGAAAAGTGTGAAAATGTTCGTGCCTGTCTGAGAAAAGTGTGAGAAGTTTTACAGCCTTAAAACATCTATAATAATTGTAAAGAATTAAGTTGGCTACTTCGTGGATTTCACCCATCGGATGTTATTTTTAGAACGAAATCCCGCGATAAGCGAGGGACCGCTGTGTAGGATACGGTACTTTGTCGTTGGATCAAAGGGACTGTCTTGCTTTAAAAAAAAGACAAAGGACAAGATTACTTAACAGTCAATGTTTAAGAGACAAAAGCACAGACGCTGGCAGTTTTATAAAACGACATTCTTTATTTACAAATTTATATTTTGCAGTAAATGCAAATTTCCTGTAAAAGACTGTTGTACTAAAACATGGTTCTGTAGCCTCTAACTGTAAAACAAGTGGGACACAGTGAGCATAAAATACATGCACATATCTGTACACTGTCACCAAAATACATCTGATTACAAAATATAGTGCTCGATACAAATATCTGGAGTTTGGATTCAGCAGATGTCTCAGATTTCACATATGCACGTGTGAAACAATCTTCCTTTGCATTTCTGTATGAAAATAAGCTGTTTAAGCAAAAATAGA